TTATCCTTTCTTTCCCCCAAACAAAAAGGCAGCAAGGCAACAATCCCAGATCTAATCCTCTTTCTTCTTACTTACTAAGCCTCAAATTCCTGGCTTAGTTTCATTTTACATTAGTAAGAATACGATAGAAATCCATTCGTGTTAAACTTACACACTTAAGTGACATGATGAAAAGCCCTGGGGCAAATACAGCAAGAATCTGATTTAGCAACGCCATTGGACAAAAGAAAAAATGGGAAGAAGAAGAGTAACTGATACTGTGTCACATGAAGCCTACCCTACTGGCGATCACAAGCTGAAACCTGATGTAATCTGACTGTATCAAAATTGAATTTTTATTTAGTGCAAACTAACAGCTTCTTCAGAGAGGTTTCAGGAAGGTATTATGCTCTACAAAAGATTCGGTTGTTATCTATACTTTTTCTGGTCAATGAGTTATATAGAGAAGTATGCAGTTTCTCTCAGTATCAACACTGTAGATGAGCCATGTTATTAAAGTTGCAGTTTTATCCTTCTGTTGGAAGGAAAATAATGTTGGTGAAGCCTGTTTTCCCCAAGTATGTTCTAACAATTTTTACTGAAAATCATGGCACTTGTTCTTTTTATCTCCCTCACTTCAGGACTTCAAGGTCCATGATTTAGTTGATGAAAATACTCCTTTCCTCAGTCAGAAAAAAGACTGCAACTTATTCATATCTCATTAGACAACCTTTGTGGTATACCCACAACAAAAAAACACCATTTGGTAGCTCTGCTCCTATTGATGAGCTCTCTGAAATCCACGACATTTGTCCATGAAGGATCCATACACAATCTGTTTCCAGTCTCACATTCTCTCTCTCAGGCAGTCCATTGATTTGGGTCCTCATCACCTCTAGTCCACACTGTTGTAACAGCCTAGCAACAGCCTCCCTTGTCCCTACTCTGCAACCATTCCCATCTACTCTTTATGCAGTAGCCAAATTAATCTTCCCAAGGCAAAGATCTGACCATATTACTCCTTTGATCAAAAACCTTTAGTAAATCCCTTTTGTTTCTAAGATAAAATTCACATTCCTTACTCTGATACTTAAAGACCTTCCTGAACAAGTTTCAACCTTCCTTTCCAGAATTATTTCATGTTACTGCCTTTCATGTACTCTTTGAGTTCAAATCACAAGTTGCATGTCTTGAATGCATTTTTCCCTCATTTTTATCTTTGGGAAACCTTTTCTCCCTTTGGATATCAGCCTTTCTGTAAAGTCTCTCCTGAGCTTCTTACTTGAAAGTATTCCTTCCTTGGATTCCATAAAATTTTAGTTTGTATTATATGTATTTGTGCACATCATATCTTCTTTGTGCTCTGATTTACCTGAGGTGTTTTAGCAAGAGTAGAATGGGACTGTGGAGGTGGCTTACAACAAGGGTAGAATGACATTTAGTTTCTCTGGATGCTGTTGAGGGAAGTCAGGGCCAGTCAGATCCCAGGGACCTCTCTGTTTTCCTTTTGCTAAAACCACTCCTGCATTATAGGTGGGAGAAAAAGAAGTTCCTCCAGGAAAATGTTGGTCCTATCTTAGAGGCCAATATTCCAAAGCCTTTTCATGGTTTATTTTTTTTATCGTTCTTCAGAATGATCTATTTTGTGTAAAGAGTACTTTTTTTCCCTGAAGTATGCATAACTTATCTCATTCAATGGGTCAGTGTCAGTCAAATCACAGCAATATCTTTTGGTAGAATTTGTTCAAATCTCCCTGCTTCTAACTCATGTCACAACAACATTACTTTTTGATTTTTATTTTAATGAATCAATTCCCTCAGAGTTTAATCACTTCCTTTAAAAAGCCATCACTTGAATTTCAAGAGAAGCACATATTTTGTAGTTCAGCTTCTTGCCTATGATACTAGCAGCTTGTGACAGCATTATCTAAAATGAAAGGATTTTTGAGACATGAATAAACTCCTTTAAAAATGTGAATCTATAGGGACAGCTAGGAGGCGCAGTGGATAGAGCAGCAGCCCTGAAGTCAGGAGGACCTGAGTTCAAATCCGGCCTCAGACCAAACACTTGACACTTACTAGCTGTGTGACCCTGGGCAAGTCACTTAACCCCAATTGCCTTAAAAAAAATGTGAATCTATAAAACAGAAGTCCAGAGGTGACAATGTGGTGACAGAGTAGCCAGCCTCCACTACCAAGTCTCCTTCCTAATTTGAATCTTTCCATAGATTGTCTCATCAAATCAGATCAATATGTATTCCTATTACTACATTGGTAGTAACTTAATAATTATGATAGAAATACAAGACAACAATTTTGCTTAAAAAATGTTTCCAGTATACAAATAATTTAAATGCCCATAAAATTCTATGTATACTTGCATATTTGCCTTGCATGATGAGGGGAAAAAAATCATTAAAATAATGTTCTTGTTTAGGAATAGAAGGTTATAAAAGAAAATTCAAATTAAACAAGGCATGGGATATTATATTGATTAAAATACTCTGGTGAATTAATTATTTTAATATCAAGATTGGCTGATTTGTTGTTTAAAATAATAATTCTCAAATGGAAATCATAAAAATACATCAGATTATTTCTAGTCCTCACTCAAAACACAAGATTTCTTCTGAGCATCTAGCAAATTAGGCAAATAATAGCTAATAATAATATTTATATAGTACTTTAAGGTCTGTTAACTCATTTAATCCTCAGAGCATCTCTTTCAGATAGGTGTTATTATCACCTCCCATTTTAGAAATGTAAAAATTGAGTCTGCGAGGCTAAATCATGTGCCTACAGTCACACAGTTAGCAAGCATCTTGAAACCTGATGCAAGCTCAGTTATTCCTGATTACAAGTCCCATACTGTATCCACCTAGCAGCCTATTCACTCCCTCATAAGTTGCCCCTCCACTCAAATGATGATCTACCTGTAAGTATGCATTGCTGAAATGTAGGACAGTGGAAAGACCACAGGATTTTAAGCAGAATGATTTGCATTCAAAATATGGCTTTGTCACTATCCAATGGGACTTTGGGCAAGTAATTTAATTTCCCAGTTTTCTTTTCTATAAAATGAGGGATTAGACTACATGGGCACTATGGTTCTTTCCTGCTCTAAAACCATATGATCTTTCCAGAAGAATCATGTTGTTTTTTGTTGTTATTGAATCATTGTTCAGTCACGTCCAACTCTTTGTGACTCTATTTGGAATTTTCTTGGTAAGAATTCTGGAGTGATTTGCCATTTCCTTCTCTAGCTCATTTCATAGATGAGAAATGGAGGCAAACAAAGTTAAGTGATTAGCCAAAGGTCACATCGCTAATAAGTGTGTAAGGCCAAATCTGAACTTGGATCTCCCGCAGACCATCACTGGGCCATCTCGCCATCCACTTCATCACTGCTGACCAGAAAAATCACACCACACTTCAAATATTTGGAATGTGCCTCTTGGGAAGTGGAAGAAGATAGAATGGTTTTATCCTCAACTGTCTTCTTATATTGCCTGAGACCCCAAGATACTTTGGGGCTCTTGGCAAGATATTCTTACAGTTTATTGTGATTTTGAATCCCAAGATTTCTATATTAATTCCATAGTGTAAACTTGTCATTTTCTTATAGTTTAGCCTGTGAATGAATTAATTATTTAGACTGGTTGATTTTGTCAGTTAAAAGACATTAGCAGAAGTGACAGAAGTGCTAAATTCAATTTTGATTCCCTCTCAATACAATACTAAATCTTAAATCACACAATTTTCACTACAAACAGTCATAATAGTGGGTCAATGGATTTGATTATTTTGAAATAAAATTAGTATGGCTATTTTTTCCAGTCCTATTTCAAAGACAAATGCTAAAAATATTCCTCAAAGAGCTTCATCTGGGATTATTCAGATTAGTGACACATGTAATATGGATTCAAAAAATAATTAGCATACTTCAAATTGATGCAGTCTTATAAAAACCTGGCTATTTTGTGTTTTGTATTCCATACACTGGACCAGGTAGAGAACTTTAGAAATTTCAACATTTCTCTACTGTGAAACAAACAAACCCTTAGAAAAGTCATCCAGTCCAACTTTTTTATTTTACTAAATATTAAACTGAGAATGAGAGACATGAAGTGACTTTCCTCTGGTCACAGAGCTAGTAAGCAGTAGAGATGGGATTAGAATACAAATGCTCTAACTTCCAGTCCATTGCTTTAAAACAAAACAAAAAAAAAAAACATTGCTGCTTTTTGTCTTTCATTCCCAGTTTACTTTTTTCCATAGAATCCTTCCTTATAAAAAAGAAAATACTTAAGCAAAACAGACAGAAGAAGCAAAAAAAAAGTCCACCTCTTGAATTAAACTTACTGTTCTGTAGTACTTATTGGTTTACAGCTTGGAGTTGAAGAAGGGAGTCTCAGTTTGAAAAGGTCTATTAATTTTGCATCAATTTTTTAGTCACATGAATAGTAATTACTTCTAGTTTTATATTTATAATATGAAAGATAGTAATGTACTAATATGAAAAGTATTTGTACTTCTTAATATATTTTCATGAACCTTTATAACATCTCATAAAATTGGTTAAAATTACAATTTATTTACAAGACAGATAATTTAGGCACTGAGTAAAGATAAAGTTACAAAATTAATGTAGTCAAAAGATGTATTCATAATAGACACTGAAGTAGCTAGTTTCGGAAGAGGTGTAAAAATTTTTGTGGTCACTTGAGCAGTATGAGAACATATTCCTTTAGTCACTCAAATCACTTATTTGACTTTGTTTTAATGAAAGACTAAGATAAGGAATGCACAGCAGGACTCCATTTAAGCTCTAGGATTTCAATGTACCAAAATATAAAATCACAATATCCCAGTATTAGCAACTGAATTGAGTAAGTGCCTGCCTCATGGACTTTAGTTCAATCTTTAAATATCATACTAGGAGTTTGGCTGAATCATATTTCAAGTTACCCCTTAGCAAGAATTACTGAGCAAAGCTGCATAGGGATTTGCAAAATACTTGCCTGAAATCCAAGGAGCTTCTCGCTGGGCTTAATATGCCTCTGAAATTCACATTCTATTGGCTGTATCACTTTGATTCCATCTTCATAAAAAACATAGAACATGTTCCCAATTCCCAGACCTTAGGAACAAAAAAAAAAAACCAAAACACACATTTAAATGTTCAGAATAAAACCACCAAAAACATCTGCAACCAAACTTAGAACCCCCTGCAACCAATGGCAGGAGATCAATTTGTGAATACATGTGATATTAATAAAGCAAACCCTATAGGATCTTTTATTGTACAACTAAAGTCACTTTGTAAGATTAGACAAAAATTCTGATTCTTTCTTCCCACATTCCCCTGCATTGGACTATTTGCAATTCAGTGGTTTAATGAATAAAAATGCAGAGTGATATTTCATCTCTAAAGTAATAATACTCAAAATACTCATATCAAATCATGAACCCTTGTATTAAATAAATTTAGTTTACTTCCTCCCACATATCTTAGATTCCTGTTGATCAAGAAATTAATGTATTTATGAAAGAATATTAGGCATCCTGATTTTTTATTACTGGGCTCTACTTAGAATGAAGAAAAGTATAAAACTTCTTAAATTACATATAACATACATGTGTCACATATACATACATGTGCATATAAATATATTATAAACTATATGGGTATACCCATGCAAATGTGTGTGTGTGTGTATTTGTGTATGTATGTAATTTTTTGGTAGGTCCCAGAATCTTGGGATATGCTTAATTTCCCCTTGGAAATTTCCACAGTCATATGGCCAAACAATGGTTATTCTGGTTGCAAGTGATTACATTTAGAAATCTAAAAGTTCTTACATATATAACATTATTGATGTGTAAAAGTCCACCCAATTCCCTCCTAGAAGGCCCTCTAAAAAGGTGATGAGATTTAAAAAACTGGAATTGAATTCCTATATCCTGCCCTATAATCTAAGGCACAGCTGACTCAGGTTTCAACCTTACTTTGTTCGGAGCTGTGTTAGAACTTTTGCATACATTCAGGTTTTGCTCACAGCTCACTCTTACCCTATTCAAGTGTTTCTGGTACTTAGCCAGATATTACAGTGCTCCATCTGGTCATTTTCCAGTTATAAACAAATCCTTTTCTGAGAGACACTAGATTACTCTATCAAATATTGTCATTCTAATTAAATTTTACTCAATTCAGAGGTGGGATATTTCCCTTTGTGAGAGAAAATGACATGAATCAGAAAAGTGAATCAATCCTATTTAATCAAAGCTATTTAAAAATATATTCCTTAATAAATCAACTAATAAAAACTCTGATGATGTTTACTTTTTTAAAAAGTAAGAATAAAATAAATGAAATGTTATAAATTGATAAGTGATGTTTTGTGAAACACACATCTGTGGGTGCTTATTATTACCAAACTTAGGAGAAACAAAAATAATTAGCACCATTTCTTTCTCCACCCATTGGATTTAAACACAGCTTCTCAGTAAGATGGAACCTTGTAATGAATTTCACTTCTACTTTATAATATAAAAACATAATGTTCTACAAATATTAATGACATTAAAATATATGATATAAGAAATCAATAAATGTCTTTGGGATATGCTTAATTTCCCCTCGGCTCACCCCAAGTCATATAGTCAAATAATGGTTATTCTGGTTGTAAATGATTATATTTAGAAACCTAAACTATTTTATAGTTATCAACCAAGAATTAATCTAGAAAATCAATATAATGATATGTGATATCATATAATATGTTATCACATTATGAAAATTAAATTGTATTTATCAAGCACTCTGTTTCTCTCCACATATAAGTACACATACACACATACACATACATACACATGTATACACACACACATGTATATACACATATACATATATTTAATTTTAAATGGCATTCATTACTGGAAATAATTATTTACATTACTTGGTTTCAGGTTATTGTTAAGAAGAAGGAAATCTTAATTGTAATTGTGTTGGTCCTTAGCCTATGTTTCAATAGCCTGAAATATATGGCTAAGTTAGACATGACATCAAGACACAAAGGATCTAATTAGCCAGGCATATGAAGACAGTTTGAAGACAATAGCAACTGACAGCTTTAGATTTCTAGTTGCTCGTGGTAACTTGGAGTTAATGAATTGTTCATCACTGCAGCTGAATCTTTCTGTGTTTTTTTATTTGAACAATAAAAATATGGTCTAAGAAGCTATATCACAAAACTTGTGAATAGAGAGGAAGCATGGCATGGAGAAAAGACCAACCTTAGACTAAGAAAGATCTGGGTTCCTCTCCTATCTCTGATATAATCAAGTTTTCAATTGTAAGAGTTCCTCGGCAACCACAATTAAAATTTGCCCAACAGAGAAATGCATGTGTATGCTTATGCCCATTAATCCATGTATATTTACATCTTCTCTATCCAACCGCTTGTCTCTCTCTATATGTACATGTATTTATAAATGTACTTAATTTTAAAGAAATTTCAGCATATGCAAACTCAGGATTTAGAGAATTTTGTTTTAAGTCCTACTTGCCTTCAAAGCAAGGCATAAAGACAGCATTTATGTCCAGTGATTGGTCTTTGCAGTGATTCTATTTGTACATACAGAAATATATGAAGATTGATTTTCTAGATTAATTCTTGATTGATAACTATAAAATAGTACTTCTATGAATAAGTAGTATTTGATCAGTTAATATGGAATGATATCTACAGATATCTTTGTAATTCCATTTAATAATTCTAAAACAATTTCAGACTTTTCCATTTCTATCATACATAAATTATTGTTGCTGTTCAGTTGTTTCAGTGATGTCTAATTCTTCACCATCCCATTTTTTTTTGTTTTTTGGCAAAGATACTGTAGTGGTTTGCCATTTCCTTCTCCAGATCATTTTATAGATGAGAAGCTGAGGCAAACAGAGTTAAGTGACTTGCCCAGGTTCACACAGCTAGTAGGTGTCTGAGGACAGATTTGCACTCAGGAAGATGAGTATTCCTGACTCCAGGCCCAGCCATTCTATCCATTATGCCACCTAGCTGCCTATACAAAAAAAAAAAAAAAAATGACAATTTAAATAAGAAAAGCTCTCAGTTGTTATTTCTAATTTGGGAAGTGAATACAATAAATATATTCAGTTTGCACAAAGAAAAAATGCAAATGGCTTTTTCCCTCTCCCTTAGAGTAGAGAATATATCAATAATCATATTTTCAATAATGTGAGTAAATGTAGGTATAATTTCAACTGAAAAAAAAGTGCCTCACTATGAGTGTAGATCAGAAGCTGCTCTTCTAATACTAGAAATCTGTCAGAGACAAAACAAGGTTAGATGACTTGGCACAGGTCATCCAGATAGCAAATATCAGAGCAGAAGCCAGGTCTTTCTAATTCCACCCTCACATTTGTTCATTTTGCCCACTGTGCTTCTGTGATTTCTATTCAAAAAATGTTTCAAAAAATTATGAAGCTCCCTAAGAAATATTCACTGGGAAATCTGGAAAGTATGTGTCCAAATCATTTTACCATCTTTTTCTAACCATTTTGACTTTCTTGCTCCTATGGCATGTGGATTTTCTCAGTCAAGTACTTACCAAAACTTCTTATATTGCACAGTCTTTGGGCAAAGGCTAGAGATCATGTGAAATCTGTAGTGTACTGAACACTATTTTTGATTAGGTTTTCAAACTTTCTTATTGTTTTTGCTATTGCTGTTTGTGCACAACTGTGACTTTGGTTAGATGCTTTTTTTAAAAGCAACTAACAATGTCTGGAATACAGTAGTTATTTAAAATATTTGTTAATTAATTGCTTTATTTGTTTTACAAAATAATGGAAACTATGTGTGATTTATAACTGGAGAATTTTTGAGTCTCTGCAATTTACTGCTAGAGTCATTTTAAATAAGTGACTTAATGGCTCTAGGCTTATACCACCTCATCTGTAAAATGACAGGTTTAGGTTAGATGACCTGTAAGGACTCTTTTAGCTCTAACTCTATGATTTTTAATTTAGCTTCTGTGATTTCTATATAATTCCATGATTTTAGATTTAGCACTACAAGGGTCTAAATCAGTTTAGATTTAATCTGATACACAGTAACTCATTGGCTGGTGTTGGAAAAATGATGGACATTGTGGGCTCCCTAAAATAATGTGAAGTGAGCATAAACTATTTTATAAACTAAAAGGGTTAATCAATAAAGAGATGTTAGTAAATGCTAATGATAACAACAATAAAGATCTCGAGTGCAATAGGACAACTAGTTTTGTTTTAGTTTTTGTTTTTCCTAAATCTCATAAATGTTACCAGACTTTTCTTTGGAAATACTAGTAGAAAAGAAATTAGTGGAATATGTCCATAATCAGATTTTGACGACACTCCATATTTCCCATATAAATCAGTCTGGTAGTCCATTCCTTTATGTAGCACTGTTATCAATCTATCTCTATCTATCAATTATCTATTTATCTATCTATCTATCTATCTGTCTGTCTATCTGTATTTGTGGGGTAGGAGTGGAGGGTTAGGATCTGTGGTTTTATCAGTATTCCTGGTCTCAAAACAACCTCCACTAATGCATACCAGGAACTAATCTGTATTTTACAGTCTTAGAGAGCTGTCTGGGACGCTAAGAAGTTAACTAATTTGTCCATGGTCAAAAAGTTATTATATGGCAGAGAGAGATAGAACAAGAATCCAAGTAATCCTGACTCCAAGGGAAGCCCTTTTTTTAACTACACCACTATGTCTCATACCTTGCACATTGATTTTAATATTTTTGTATGAATTTAATTCATTCTTACATGACATGAAACTGAAGTCCTAACAACACATGACAATAATGGGATGTCAAAAGATATAGCTCTTAATATTCAATTTTCTAATCTAATTATTCCATAGTAAAATTCAGTGGTAGTTTTTTTAACTCTAATGACAAAAAATAAAATGTAATTGTGTACGAGGTTTTCTAGAGTAGATTGACATATGTATTTTGTTTTATCCAAGTTATTTATCTGTAGTCATCTGATGATTTGTAAAAAACAAAACAAAACAAAACATATTTTGTTTACCTTCTTGTATAATCAGGGTGTGTGTGTGCATGTGTGTGTGTGCATGCGCGCTCTCATGTGTGTGCATGCTCATGCATGCACATGTGTGTCTGTGTTTAGAAGTTATAAAAATATATTTTTAATTTTTTTAGTAGAAGAATAGTCATTATATCAGTTTTAAGTATTGCTGAATGAAATTGGGTCTAATTCAGTCTAATGCACATTCCCATTTCATTTCTATGGTATTGGGAAAGAGCTTGTGTACAACAGGTACTAATAGAATCCCAGACAAAAAATGTAATAAATTCACCTGGGCAGCCAAAGCTTGTTAATGATTGTTTCTGACTATCAAAAGCTCATGTCAGGCTAGTTATAACAGGGTCATGATCTTGTGATTACTTTTCTTCATCGAGTTTTAAAATTCATGGAACTTTTCTGTGTTGGAGATCAATTTCTGAAATGGTGGCTGACCAGATGGTATGGTAACCAGCTATGTAATTCTATCTAGTTGAGATCTTAGAGATTAAACAGAATTCTCTGTTCTTTATTACTGCCCATTTCTAATAGAACTATTTTTTTTTACTTCAGAATTTATTCTTTACTATATCATCTGTTGAGGAAAAGTTTAGGATGCCTAAAAATATCCACTGAGTCTAAATATCCTAAGCAGGAATGAAATCTGATTTACATCTCTACCTTTATATCAGAAATTCTTAACTATAGGTCCATGAACTAGTTTAGATAGATAGGAAGAGAGAGAGAGAGAGAGAGAGAGAGAGAGAGAGAGAGAGAGAGAGA